AAAAAGAGGTGCAGGGGCTCATTTGCATAAATCATTTGCATATGCCACACCCCCGACAAAAGGGCAGGCATGTTTGCAAATGAGTTTAAATCCCCCCACGAGTCTCTCCGCAAAAGTCTACCTCCTGCCCTCCCCGGCTCCAGCCAACCCACCGCGGTGGGCTGGCTGGAGACGGGGAGGGCAGGGAGGCAGTCATGCCTGGGTTACCTGCCCAATCTTCTCCAGGGCACCTGGAGAAGATCGGGCAGGGAACCCAGGCATTTAAATCCCCCCCTCCCTGAGTGTCTCCGCAGGCAGGGGGCGGGGCCTGGGCTCCTTTCTGCCGGAGCGCTGCTCTGGGGCGCGCCAGCAGGAAATGACCCCTGAATACACCCAATGGCCATAAAAATATAAAATTCCCATTAAAAATATACATGGGGGTGCAGCATATTAAGGCACAGGCATGTTTTCTAGAGATATATCACTATCAGGAAGCATTTCTTTAAAAAAAAATAATAATGAAAAATCAAAGACTTACCTACACAAAGGGGAAAAAATGGTTCTTTCCAGGGAAATGTCAGGGCATATCAAGAGAGCAAGCACAAAGGCAAAGAGTGAAAGCTAAGTGACCAGAAAAAGTAATGAGTCCTCCTGTGCTTTCTGAAAGTACAAGGGCCACAAATGGCCATGGCCAAAAAAACCCCAAAACTTTTTTCAGGGCAGAGAAAGAAAAGGTACCAACTGCTGCAAGCACACATAAAGAGCAATTTCTGCCCCTGTGCTTTGTTATAACTTTATATGACTATCAGGCGAGTGTTGTTTTTTTTAAATCAAATAGTTGAAGATTTCCTGACGCAAGGGATAAAAATTCCTCCTTAGCAAAGCGGGAAGAAAAGGACACAGGACACAACTGTCCCATTGCTCCTCAGTCATGGCCCAGTCAACGGTAAGTGGGAGGAATCAACAAAAGTACAATAAACATTACATATACAAACAAATGCAATTCAAATTCCGTTGCTAGAAAATGATCTGAGTAGCAGCAGTCCCAAAAGAACCAAGGGGGGAAAACATGGGAAAATTGCAAGGGAAAAACGAAAGGCTCAAGAGAACATGGGGAAGACACAGGGCCATAGCTAGCATGGGGCCCATGGGCCGACGCCCCCTCCTGGTGGATTTCCGGTGTAAACCTGCCAGGGGGGGGCAGCGGCTGCTTTTTAGCGCGCACGTTCACTCCCCAGTTTCCTCTACCTGGCCACCTTCCCTGCTGAGAACCTCTCTCTTCTTTCTCTCTGCTCCCCCCCCTTCCTCCTCCGTCATTCAGTCCCTGTTTCTGTTACAGTTTGCTTGGGTGATTGTACAATGGATGCTGGAATATCTTTTGTTCCTTGTGATCTTCAGTCTGTCGGACTCATGGCAACTCCATGGCGCTTTAAGTTAATTAATTAAATAAATAAATTTGCCAGTGCCCCCTTTCCCCCCATGAAAAATGTCTAGCTACGGGGCTGGGAAGACAAGGATTAAAAAAGCAGTATGGGGCCAGAACCACTGCTGTACCACCGTGTTTCCAATTTCCTGGGAAGGGTTGGGGCTGGGCCAGAGGTGAAAAACTGGGACCCAGTGACATCATAGGAAGGAGCCAGTGACATCACAGGAAGGGGCCTCCACTGTCACTATCTATGGAGGCGGGGCCATGGGTGATTTAGGGAGGGGCTCCCCAGAAATTTAGGGGGGCCTGGGAACCCCCTCCCCCAACAAGTCCCCTGGGCTGGGCCAAACCTAGGAAAAGGTATGAGTTTGCCAGGGGTTATAGTTGGATCTCAGGGTTTCCTGCTGTGTTCTGTTTTTGAAATTCACTTTTAGAAAAGTCACTTTAAGATCTGCAAATATACATACCATGTGCATGGGACAAACTAATGGTCACAAATTTGACAGTATGAAAGGTAACACAGCAAAGCCTGTAAGGGAACATTTTTTCACATTTTCCTAGATGTTCATTTACAGGAATCTTGTTTCTGCCTTATTCATAAGGGTGACTTTGGCTGCGGTCACACGTAACAGAAGCCACACAAGTGAGACGGAAAACAGCCGGAGTTTCTGGGCGCGATCTCACCAGCACATCTGGGAAGCGTTGCACTCCCGTGGCTCAACCGAGGCTTCCAGCCGAAACTGCGTGGCAAAAAACTAGTACCTTGGAGGTACTAGTTTCCGGAAACTGCGGGGCAAGGGCGGGCGTCTGATCGCGTTTCCGGTGGCATCTGGCGCCCGCCCATGTCCCCTTGCAAATAAGGTGGGTATTTTTGTCCAAGTCTCTGTGGATGCGCATGCGCACCCAACGGAGCATGCGCATTTGTCATGTACACAAAAATAAAAAACAGTTTGCCGCGGCGCGCGCTTCTTCGTTGTGCACCGGCTTGTCCTGTGATCGGCACCTCTCCCTTGCCATGGAACCTCCACGGTACCTCCACAGGACCTCCACAGGAGGTCTGATCACGTAACTGCGCAGTAGTTTGCCCCAGGGCAAACAGCCACGCTTCTCCTCTGCAGTTTCCTACCCGTGTGACCGGGGCCTTTGTAAATTATGGCGTTACAGATGCCTTCTTTGGAAAATCAATGGCTGAAGTCTCTGAGGCAGGGCAGAATAAAAAACAGTTGCTGTTCACTCAGTTTCTGAGCAATGTACGGTGTTCAGAGTAGTGGCAATCTTCTCCTTCTCACTTCAAACTCACATCCTACAAGTGAGTACAAGTACATTTTGAAGCAATTCAGAACAGTGCCCATAGCCATGACCCCAAAGAAAACTCAGATATGCCACCCAGGATTTTATATACCTTGTCAGAGGTCTGTCTCCCCTTTGGATCCAGCCACAAGAGACCTTCTCTTACTGCTGCAAGGAATGTTATCAATTCTCTTTCCCCGGCCCTTTGACCCAGGTCCACCCAGGTCAAAGCAGCTTTTCCTGTCTCCAGAGATCTGTCTTCCTAAAGACTCTCTAGCATTCGATACCTCCACATATTCTCCTGCTTGGAGAAAGAAGGGGGATCCTTAACCATCCCATTGTCTATCCTGCTAGCTCAATTGGCATTTGTAAGAAGGTGAGCATGGAAGGTCATTACACACTGACTTCCTTCTTTGGGGGGGGGACACTTTTTAAAAACACACGGGGGGGGGATTTCCTGCTTGCCAACGTCCCAGGAGAAAAATGCATTTCTTCACAGGATCCATTACCCTATTCATGTCTCCGAAGATCATTATCTCTCCTTCTTGAAAATCTAATGGATTGGAAAACATTTTCATAAACTCAAAGGAGTTTGTCACTATTGTCTGACCCAAGCCCCCCACCACATAGTTTACACCTATGCCATGCGGAGAACCCAAAAGTAAATGCTACATAAACACTGCAAGTCTCCAGTCTTTTCTCCTCCAAAGGAAATTAATCCTGGAACTTTGCACAACTCAGAAAAGTAGGACATACGTAATAGCACATAGTAGCTGAGAGTTGTGTCAGACTGGGAACTAGGAGACTCAGGTTTGAATTCACATTACCCCATGGAAGCTTGCTGGGTGACCTTGGGCTAGTCACACACACTCAGCCTAACCAACCTCACAGGATTATTGTTGTGAGGATAAAATGGAAAAAGGGACAATGTTGTAAGCCATTTTGGGTCCCCCTCCCCCCCCACTGGGGAGAAATAAAATAACTAATATGAATGAAATAAGTAGTATTTCATGATTATAAATGCATGAATAGACATTACTGCCAGTTCACTTAGCAGGCAAATACGCTTCCTATTTATTTATTTATACCTGCTTTTCTCCCCAATGGGACCCCAAGGAGGCTTTTTTACACCGCAAGCCAGGGCCCTAAAGGTCAACAGTGGGATGAATACAACTTTGCTTGTCCAGTAACCTCAGGCAACGTGACACATATGCTGGGGGCCCTCAGCCTTGTGGGGGCCTGGAGCAATCTGTTCCCCCAAACACACACAGACCGATTCCACAAAAGCAGTTGTTCTGCCCTCGATCTCCCATTTCCCCTGGTTGTACTGCTCAATTTCCCACTATCTGCTGCGCGGCCGCATTTTGACCCACATCTCTTCTCCCACGTCTTCTTAATCCAAAAAAATAAGTACCTAGAAGACACGGGGTAAATGGGGGGGAGTGCAGGTCAAAATGCAGACGCGCAGCAGATAGTGGGAAACTGAGCATTACAACCGGGGGAAATGGGAGACCGATGGCGGAACAACTGCTTTTGTTTGGTGTAGTGGTTTAGCAGTGCGGACTCTAATCTGGGAGAACCAGGTTTGATTCCCCACTCCTCCACTTGCACCTGCTGGATGACCTTGGGCAAGCCATAGTTCTGACAAGAGCTGTCCTTGAAAGGGCAGTTCTGGAAAGAGCTCTCTCAGCCCCACCCACCTCACAGGGTGTCTGTTGTGAGGAGGGGAAGGGACAGGAGTTTGTAAGACGGTTTGAGACTCTGAGTAAAGGGCAGGGTATAAATCCAATCTCCTCCTCCTCCTCGTCCTCTTCTTCTTCTTGTTCTTTTTTTGTGGAATCAGTCACAATTTAATTTTGTAACGTTGTCTCCACACTTCTGTAACTTAGGTCTACCTATGATTCTTCCCTTTGCAAACTATTTTGTAGGCTTGGGTGGGAGAGGCTCTGTCCAACAGCTAAGAGGGAGAGGAAGATAAAAGGTAAATTGGGGAAAACAACTGTTTACTTGAAAGTGAGTCCCCAAATGCCCCATCAACACAAAACTTCACAGGGAAATAGCACTGTTTCCCCATTTTAAAGAAGCACCAATGTCTTCATGAGACCAGCAGTCACTATACCAATTCTCTCACCCTCAAGGTAGTTCTTTCTGTGCACCAAGCAACTAACAAATTTGATACAGGGACGCATCAGAAATGTCTTTTGAAAATGTATTTTCCAAGGCATTTAGAAATACTGAAAGAAGTAATTTGTTCAGATCAAGTCTTCCAAGGCTTCTTACTCCCACCAGAGTGTTTACACGCTTCTTATTCTTTTTGTTCAGCACCTTTAGTTTCCTTCAACATTTCTTGCCAGTTTTTCTCCATCTCCTCCTTACAGGTGAGAAAGGCATCTTCAAGCCGTCTCATTGAGTTGGCCAAGTCTGGGTTAGAGCGCATCACCACCATATCATAAGCCATCCAGGTAGCCTGCACTAGGACAACACAAAAGACACTGTCAGCATGGGATTTAGCAGAAGGAGACAGCTACGTGCATGAGGAAAAGTGTAAAGTTGCTAACAAGACCCCCAAAAATGGCCAGTTCGAATCCAAGCCAGAGTCCTCCTTTCAACTATGTGGGATTAAAACCATTGCGCATAAATAGCTGCACTGCAATAAGTACTAGTCTAGTGTACTTGTCCCATTTTCTCAGCACTGTTATTGACTCTGAGGACAGATGTGCTCCAGCATTTTTTCTCTTAAGATTTAATTATGACTGCCTTCCTAATGGAAACTTCCATCATATGCTGTCTCTAATAGCTCTTAACATAGACATGGAGCTCCAGTACACAAAAAAGGGGGATGGCATGTGCAAAACATATAATTACAGCATGCACGCATTATCTGAATTCCCCTCAGATTGCGCTAACAAACTAACGTGATTATATTAAATGTATCACCATTTTTCATTTATATCCTAGTAAACTTCTGAGCAAGCACTTGCTGGTATTTTAATTAATATCTCCTTTGCATAATCCATTTTACGATAATTGCTTGTGTATAAATATCAAAGTGTCACAAGAAAGAGAGGAAATACAGTTTTCAAGGGCAATTTAAAATAAAACGGCTGATCAACAAGAAGATGGAAGTTCTATGTACTATAGACACTTGATCAATGCAGAGAGTCTATCTATGCAGGAGGGAATATGGCCCCAATAATCCCAAATTCCCATGTAAACCAAGGACACATTTCTATTCCTTGTTGTTATGGAGAAAGCTATTAAGAGCTTATCTTACACAGACTTTCCAGTAGTTAGAAATTTTAACCCCCATGTTAAAATTAAATAGCTCCTAATCAAACTGTATTTTGTTGTCAAAGGCTGTCATGGCCAGAGTTCATTGGTTGTTGTAGATTTTCCGGGTTGTCTGGCCGTGGTCTTGGACCATGGCCATACAGCCTGGAAAATTTACAACAACTAACAAACTGTATTTTACTATGGTCAGACAAGTCAGGTTTATGAAGAGTGCATCTTCTTATTACGGAGGAGGGAAATGTCACTACATTCATTTTAGAACAGTGTTAAATGTTTTGAATACAGGCCTGCTTTTAAATTTATTCTGAACTCCCCTAATCTGGCATCAATCACTTGTTCCAGGTGCAAAGATTTTGCAAACAGGAATCCATACAACAGAAATCCTGCAGCCGAGTGCAATTGTCTGTGAGCTAGAGCACTCAACCAACATCAACATTAGAATAGAAATATAAAAGGCTATCTCCAACCCTTCCTAAAACTGAACACTGGGAAGCACCATTTAAACAAAGCAACAACTCCTTCCAAATCAGACAAGGATGACAGTACAGAGATGAAGGGACAGTAAACACCCCCCACCCACCCCCAGCACACACAGAGTTCCAGTATAGGGAAATGAGGATTCTCTGTCAGGAGCTTTCAACATCTTTGTTGTTGGGTGAGAGTTTCATTTGCACAGGATCTTCTCTGTCCCTAAACTTTGTGCTATCTCCCCACACCACCCCCTACATCTCAATAGACCTCCATGCTCTCCAGAAGCTTAAAAACCATATTTCTAGAACACATGTAATTTAATGATCATTTTCCCAGCTAAACAAACAATGAATGCGGAACACCTCACTCTATTTATGTTACTTAGCTTAAAAACTTTAGCCAGTAGTGTTGAGAGAGAAAGGCAAAAAAAGTTTATAGGTATGTACTAATTAGTGGAAAGATTTAGTTGAACTAATCAGTAACCAAACAAAGAGGATTCTTGCAACTATTGCCTCACAACAAAACCTAGATTAAGCTTAGAGGCCTTGTTTAATTATCCAGTTGGCTTTATCAGTATTTGACTTTCTTTGAATCAATAAAATCCACTCCACAAGGAGTTCAGGTAAAACCAGTACTCAATATAAGTGCAAAATAAAATCAAAACTCTTTTCAGTAATATGTTTCACTACCTGATTCTTAGGGTCAAACTACAGAAGACAAACTTGTAAGCACTCAAAATGACAGCAACATCCTGAAAGATGAATACGTCTTTGAAAGTAACAGAGAGCATTCATAAAATGGTTTTCTTATAGATAGCACTCTTATAAAGTTGCTGTTGACATACAGCAAAATCCACACTCAGCAGAAACCTATGGTTTATTTGCGCAAGAAGTTTACCACCTCTCCAAATTATGCTGGAATCTGGAACAATAGCCTTGACTCAGCTCTTAATTGTACGGGATGTGGGTGCCTAGTGGTCCCTGTATGTTAATGAGCATCCACATTAGACACACCCATCAGATTCAATAAAGCTGGCTTAAGCATTGTAATGCAGATGTGTTATCAAAATCAGTTGTCCACTCAGATCTCCCTTTCTGGATCAGAACCAGTGCTACTAGCGATAATACGGATTTTCTGTAGGCATAAAAGCACCTGATAGTTTTTCTATGTCTTCCAGGAGCTTTTCTAAGTCTTTATTCAGGTCCTCAAGCTTTTTGACCATATTGTCGTAACTTCTTTCACAAGGTTCACATTTGGCCATCTAAAAAGAAACGAATGTGAAATTAGTGGCAATGGGTAGGCATGATGGAGGCTCAATTTTAAGGCATATAATGCCTTCAGATTATTTTAAAAAGCACACAGAGCAGTAGAGTACTATGTACAAAAATGAGCCTATACAAACTATCCTATTGTTGTTGTGAATAAGTGCAGATTTTACCACAACTCTGAGTAGCAAACAGATACCATTATCTGCAAACAGCTGTCATCAAACATTTTTCCAAGAGGCTGTTAAAACGCCCTAGTTAATCTAGAGAATAAACTGACATACTCTTAACATGGATGCTGAAAAGTAACTATATTTGGATAAAACATAAGCCCTTAACGATTAATTCAACACCTCTGAAAATCAGAGCACTTCCTAAGTGCCAAAATAAGGGTTTAAACACTTAACTTCAAACACTCCAGATTTCAAAACTGTACTACTTGACAGCTGTGCAATAGTGGGCACATGGGAAAAGGAAATCTAATATCCATTACCGTAGTAAATGTAGAATAAAATTAAATAAATGTACTAATCTACAGGAAAAAAATACTCCCTGGTAAGTTGTCCCAAAGCTCCAAAGAGATTTTTAAGCACATCACTGAGTCTTTTACTACTGTACTGAAAAAGTGGCCTGGTTTAAGCCAAATATTCATTCAGCAGGGCCAAAAAAGGCAGACACAAAATCACTCGCTAACAGTATTAAAGTAAATAAATAATACCTAGCATTCACAGAGTGCTTCAGATAATTATCTTAGTAATTTAAACACTTAACTTCAGGCACTCCAGTTTTCAAAATTATGTTATATTGTACTGTGCTTTTGGCAGTGAAGCACACATCGGTGCTGAGTGGGAGAGCAAAATACCTAAGAGTGAAGGTAGCGAGAGATGGGCTAAAAGGTGGCACATGAAATAGAAAGGAGTAAATGAGGAAGGGGGGGGGTCTAGTCCACTCAAAGTTTATGCTGGTATAAAATTTTGTTAAGTCTTTAGAGGAGCCACAAAAATATTTATTTTGATGCAACAGGCTAACGCGGCTGGCCCCTCTGGAATTATTCCTATGGGTCATTTAGTAGCTGCGTGGCAGATAGCTGTCAGGGCTGGGTGTCCTGGAATATACGAGCCCAAATGCTGGTGGTAGGCCTCTATTCGTGCTTGACAATTATGCTATAGTGGGCACATGGGGAAAGAAACCCTATTACCATTTAGCGCTGGGAAAAATACTATGACTGTAATCCTATGAACACTTTTTTTCTGCCGTCCACTGGCAGTCGACTTGTGGTTGACCCCATGGGGTTTTCAAGGCAAGAGACTACAGAGGTGGCTTGCCATTGCTTTCATCTCCAGTGATCCTGGATTTCCTGGGTGGTTTCCCATCCAAATACTGACCAGGGCCAACCCTGCTTAGCTTCTGAGATCTGATGAGATTGGGCTAGCCTGGGCCATCCAGGACACTTACACTTACTTACAATAAACCTGACTGAACTCAGTGGGGTTTTCTTTCAAGTAAGCATACACAGGACTACGCTGTAGATTCTAGGGATGCTTTTGAAGCTTCTCCCATGGGAGCAGCTGTGTTGGGGCTCACAATGGCATTTCATGAGATGGGTGTGCCTGTGTAATTCTTTGAAGATTTTATTCCAGCATAACATTTTGTGGACTAGAGCCCACTTTATCAGATGCAGTATTATAGGTCCTCACAGGGCCATGAAATACAGGAAGTACAGAGTGAGATGTAATTATGAAAAATTCAGCATAGACTCAGCCACCATGTCCAGTGTTAACCAAGTTAGAACCAGAGAAATGGGCCATAATTGTTATAGTGAATGGTATTTGCATGCACTCTTCTTGAATTTCACATAACTACTTCCTTCCCTGCAGTTCCTGGCCATTTGATCCTGCTGGGTGTTTCCCCCGTAAAACAAAAGCTTATGCCGGAATGAAATCTTTTTAGTCTTTAAAGTGCCATTATTTTTGCTGCAAAACAAGTAGCACGGTTAGCCCACTGGAACTATAATTCTTTAACTGCTGTAACCATGAGTCAACTGGCATTGTTTCTAAAGGTTGATTTTGCTTTGTTTTTGTTTTTTCATTGAGGCAGAGCAAGTTTATACTCCCCCACCGGAAACAATAGGTGATAATTCACACACAACAGTTTCTTATTTTTCAGCCCCCACACCCACCCCTGACGGACAGGTGCTCTTCTCTCTTTTTCAGCCCCCACCCCTGACGGACAGGTGCTCTTCTCTCCTGCCCTAGAATGTGCGGTATCCGTTTGCAGGTTTGGGAGGTATAAAAACAAAACAAGAAGAAGGAAGAGTACAGGCTATACCCCATCCCTACTTTTATACCTAGGGATGCTAACTCTGGATTGGGAAATTCCTTACAATTTGGGAGGTGGCGCCTATGGAGGTGAGGGACCTCAGCAGAGTGTAATGCCATAGAGTACATACTCCACTGCGGCCATTTTCTCCAGGGGAACTGATCTCTGTAGTCTGGAGATCAGTTGTAATTCCGGAAGAACTCTGGGCTCCACCTGGAGGCTGGCAATTATAGCGGTTACAGGAACAACAGCATTCCATGCCTAACTGCCATGCCCCTTCCCCAGCTGTACAAGCCCTTGGCTTGTTTTCTAATTGTAAAAAGGTCTGAGAGCCACATGAAAGGCCACATATGGTTTTAACAGCCTGTCACATATGTCAGCGAATATGAAGTGCCTGGATGAAATTAATTCAGTCTTGCTGAAATCGGTTGTGGCAAAAAGGATTGAGTCCTACCACTTAGACTTTAGTAGGTTGTGGACTAGAGTGTAAATGTGTTGAATAAGATGTTACATTTAGAAAAAGAAATGAATCCAAGCACTGGAATTACTTTAGTAACCCAGATTTAATGGGATTTATTTTGAATAAATCCTTCATAGGGAATTAATGGTTTGCAACAGAGTGTTAAACTTTTTTATATGGGGAGAATTAACCCAAAATTCCAGCTCCTGGTGTGAGCCATCATTCGTCCTAATTATGCCCAAAATGACTTCAGTTCCTTTGTTTCAAAGACTTGTTCATAAGAGAAAAAAATAATAATCTGAGCATGATATTACACTGTTCTCCAGACGTGGATAGCTTTTGTTTAACTGTACTCAACTGTGGCTATTATGCATATGTTTATAGTTGTCAGATAATCATATTGGATTAAGAACACAGCTCCCACTATCTTTAAAATTGACCGTGTATGCTCTACAAAATGTTGCATTTGCTTATGTCATGAAAGCTGAAATACCATGATAAATAGATCCAACCACAGTTAAATTTTTATGCAGTGTAATCCAATACACTCAGGCAGAAATTCCTACTCAACGCAGAATCCAACGGGTTTTCTCTCTTGCATGTATAGGACTGCAGCTGCCAAACCAAAATCGACTCATTTCCTGACAGTTTTGGAATGGAAACTGCCTTCACCACCCCAACCACCTTTGCTGAGACAGAGATATGGGGAGTACGATCCTTTTGTGATCTCCTGTGTTCTTTTGACAGCTCTTGATACTTATTGACCATGGTATCCTTTGGCCAGGTTGATATATTTGCGACACCGTGCTCTGATAGTTCACACTCTGCTTGGCCAACTGCATTAGAATGTGGATGATAACTACTTTAATTACTTTAAACTACTACAATGCCTATTTTGCTTGAGTTTTCTCCCACAAAGAAGAGAACAGGCCCATCTAGAGATGGTAGTAGGCAAGGCATGGTGTCAGGGCTGATGGTTGACATGGACAGAGAGGTTGTTGCGAGGCACCTGGCTGCACTGGAGAAGTACAAATCCCCCAGGCCAGATGCTGTGCACCCAGGAGCGCTCAAAGAACTTTCTTGAGAGATTGCAGAGCCTTTCCCCATCATCTCTTGGAGGATGAGAGATGTGCCATGTAAGCCTGGAGCAGGGTGAACATCCCAGTCTTCAAAAAAGGGAGGAAGGATGACCTAGGAAACTAGTAAAGGTAAAGGTTTCCCTTGCTCAAAAGCCAGTCGAATCCGACTCTAGGGATGCGATGCTCATCTCCATTTCCAAGCCAAAGACCCTGCACTGTCCAGAGACGTTTCCGTGGTCATGTGGCTGGCATGACTAGACGCCTAGGAAGTTACAGGCAATCAGACCCCTGTCTACGGAAGATATTGAAGCAGATTTTAAAGAGAACAGCCTGCAAGTATCTGGAGAAGTCTTGCATGGGACTGCAACTATGCATGGGATTGCAACTATGAAGCTCATTCCTGTATATGCAGGATAAATTCTAATCGACTTTCCTGAGTATACTTACTAAAGAATAAATTCCATTGAATTCAAGTTGCAAGTAAACAGGAAAAGCATTGGACTGCATATCTCAGTTTCAATGGAACAGTTAAGCAAATGGTATTGAACGCTCTCCTGTGAGAGTCAATAGTACTTAAAAGTGCTTAGGTTTGGCTGGATCCTATAATACAACAGCTGGTATACAAAGGTGGGTTATTTGTAAGGATACAGCTGTAATTTCCCCCCCTACTGCCTCAAGTAGCACTGTTTTTAATTTTAGCTTTTGTTGATTTTTTTAATGTTACCTGTGCCTAGAGCCTCTATTGAGGATATGGCTGAAATTTTAAATGAGCATGCAGGTATAGTATAGTATCTATGGCAACTGAACTACTAATCAGAAAGGCCTGGATTTAAATCCCATCTGTGCTATCAGCATCCTGAGTGGTATTAGACAAGCAATTCGCAGTCTGCAGTATGGTCATAATAATACTATTATACAGTTCTCAAACCGTGGGGGGACCCCAAAAGTGGAACTGCAATTTGTCTAATTTTTTGAATTTTTGATTTGTTCTATTACTGTGCCATTAAAGGTTTCTCTGAGACAGACTACAGTTCTCTCAGATGGGTTGCAGGCCGAGTTGAGCTCAGAGAGGACACTCAAAAAGTTTCAATGGCATATTTGGGACTGCCTCTGTAAGGACTGAATGGCCACGAAAACCACTTTTTGTTCATTTATATGTTGTTCAGTTATATGTATCTATAAACATGAGAAGTAAAAATTTGATTTGCTAAAGCAATGAGGCGGGCGGAACTAGAGAAATAAGGATGCTCAGAGGGGGTGAAGGAGCTCTATGTGAGTCTGGAAGAGAAATGGGGAGAAAGGTTAATCTTTACGGTGCCACTGCACTCTTGCTTTTTTCTACCAGGGAGAAAGAAGCAGAACTGGAGAAACGAAGTGTAAGCAGAGGCCAGATCCTTCTGTTTGTGCTAAGAGAGACAGAGAACCTGCTAAGCAAAGACAGTCCAGAAGAGGTTCCCCCATTGGATCATGCACTTTCGATGCACTTTAGCAATCCTTTGCAGCTGGATTCTCCTACGGTTAACAGCCTTGCAAACTGAGGGCCCTGACTTTTTTGGCTGCAGTCACACATGCTAAATAATCCAATTTCCAACTGGATTTTGCCAGTTCACTCTGTAAAATCCAGTTGGAGAGTGTCTTGAAAGTGGATTGTTTAGTGTGTATGATCTTAGGTTTAGTTTATCCGCCTCATGTCACCTCTTCCTTTATTTCCTGCTGCCTTCAACCTTTCCTAGCATGATCACACGCTAAATAATCAACTTTCAATGCACTTTGCAACTGGGTTTTTGCCAGATCGCACAGTAAAATCCAGTCAGAAAGTGCATCGGAAGTGGATTATTTAGTGTGCGCGATCCCAGCCCAAAACAGGAAAAATCTACCTGCAAAAAATTGCCAAAAGTGCACTGAAAGCAAATTAGTACAGCATCCCCACTGCTGGAAGGGCAGGCTACAATAAAGTCTAGGGGCTGGGCTTGTGAGCAGTGTTCCCTCGAAGCTGAGTTAGGTGTGAGCCAGCTCACAGTTTTTTAGCCTCTGGCTCACATTTTTGTCTTGGCTCAGGAAGGAGGGCTCCGGACCAAACTAATTTATGCAGCCGCCAAATGGCTCGCTCACCACTTTAATGCCAGTAGCTCACAAAGGATAAATTTTTTTTGCTCACAAGACTCCACCGCTTAGAGGGATCGTTGCTTGTGAGGGGTGGGGGAAAGCTCCGTACTCCGCCTGGAGCTCCTCGGAAGGATAAAAACGGGCCAACTTTTTTTTTGGGGGGGGGGTTGTTGTTGTTTTTACGCGTGACGGTTAAAACGGCATATTCATGTTGTGTGGACGGCTGTCCCTGCAAGCAGCCCGCCCGAGAACGGCGAGAGGCGTATCATGCCGGCTCCATCGCTGTCCTTCCTCTCAGGCGGCGCCTCGTCCCTGTTAGCCCGCGACCGAGCCCCGTCAGCCACCTTAGACGGGTAAGGGAAGGGAAGGGAAGGGAAGGGCAGGCCTCCCCCTCCCCCCCCCCCTCCGGCCGTTGACTCGCCCTTTCTTCGCGTCCTCGCCTCCCCTCAGGAGCTCCGCAGTAATGGCCGCCGAAGCCTCTGACTTTCTTTTTCCCGCCTAAAGCGCCCGTCCGGCCAACTGCCTTTTTAATGGCGTTTTCTTCTCGCGCGCCGCCGCCGCCGCCGCCTCACCGTTTCCAGGCCCTGCGCGGCGTTCGACGGCGTCTCTTCGTCGATGCCGCCTCTCAAGAGGGGAAAACGCCTGAGGAAGAGACGGACGCGTCGTGACACATCCCGATACTGATTTTTTGTAGCCAATCCAGACGTGCTCGGTGGTGCGTCCCGCGTTCGGCAGGATGGGCGCCTGATGATGGCGGGCCCGCTCAGCCTCCCCCGTCGCCTCCCTGTCCCGATGCGAATCTGATTCCCTCCGCGCGCCAGTCTGGATGATGATAATCGTTTTCACTTCTTCGCCTACTGTGTCAAGGAGACCCCGAAATGCAGGGGCAGATTACCCATTAAGAAGACTAAGCACGTGCTTAGGGCACCAGGGCCAAAGGGGGCGCCACAAAGGTGTGAAAAGCTTAGTTTGTACAGTCTATTGTGTTATCATATGAATAAGTTTTTGTACTGCTGCAACCTGCATTGTCTATCTGGTCAGACAGGTCGACCACTAAAATGGACTGGGTCAGTGTGGAAAGGAGGGAAAGGGCCAAGATTGGTCAATGCCGTAATCCAGCCCTGCCGAAATGGGTTGCGGTATCCTTACGCAATACTGCTAAGAGGATGCACCACTTTTATGTACTTTTTGTTAACTCACCCCAGAATATATGCACACACCCCCCCTCTCCCTCTCTCTCTCCCCCCCCTTAATCCTGAAAAGCAGATTGGATTGAGAGAAAATTACTGATTGGAGAGCTCATGGCAAATCTCAGGATTTGAACCCACAACACCCTTCAGGACACGGAAGACAGGAGGGGCCTGGCGTGATGTGGTCCATGGGGGTCACGAAGAGTCCGACTCCACTGTGCAACTGCACAAGAACAACAACGCCATTCAGGTCATCATAGTGGCTTACGTTGTTCTGCTCTATTTTATCCTCACAGCAACCCTGTGAGGTAGGCTAGACTGAGAGTGTATGACTAGGGGTCATTCGGCAAGCGTTCATGGCTAGGGATGCCAGCCTGGGGACCTGGGGATCCACCGGAATTACAGCTCACTTCCAGAGTACAGAGATCCGTTCCCCTGGAGAAAATGGATGCTTTGGAGGGTGGACTCTGCGGCACTGGACTCCACAGAGGTCTCTGCTCTCCCCGGGCTCCATCCCCAAATCCCCGGGAGTTTCCCAACCTGGATCTAGCAACCCTATCCCCCCATCCCCTACCGGTGGCCAGGGGGGACCTGGTAACCCTATGGTAGAAGAAGAAGAGATTGGATTTAAACCCCACCCTTCACAACCCAAAGGTGTCTCAGAGTGGTTTACAAACTCCTTTCCCTTCCCCTCCCCACAAATGGGTCAGGGGATGTTCTGCTGATTGTGCGCATCCCACCCCGTTCCAAGGGCTCAGTTGCCCTCATGCAGTTTAAGGGAGAGTTCTTGGAGAAGACATTAGCCCCACTGCAAAGGAGTCACAAACACTAACAAAGGACCCTAAAGGTGAAGGGGGAAATAAGGACTGGTGGATGCCTACCTCAAGATCTTCATCCCTAGCCTCATCTGCCCAGAGGCAGATTGGCCATTAAGTCCACTGGGAAAAAGTCCCAGTGGCCTGGTGAATGAATGATTTATTTCAGTCAAAGACTTGTCCTGTGTGAGGCGCACTGCCACCACGGACTCCTGTGAGCCAGTGGTCCTTGCCTTGTGCCCAACCAACCTCTGCATGGGGAATGAGTTGCCCAGCCAAGCCCTGACCTCCGGCATGCAGAAAAGGGAGAGTCCAGCCTGGCTGGCTCTTTCTCCATCCCTCTTTTTTTTTGGGGGGGGGGGGCTTTACAGGGCCATTTCCCCTTCCCAGTCCACCTGCTCACTTCCTCACTGGATGTAGATTGATCCAACCAACCAAGGACTTGAGCCTCTACTCTCCACAGGGTTCCGTGGCAGCATGGCATGTGTGCTCTCCTTGATCTTTCAGGCGCAGGCTGCTTTATATTCCTTTTAAAATCCAATCTTTTTCTGTCTGTTTTGGGATTCCCTTGGGTTATGTGTAGGCACCTATTCCTCTCCTGTGCCTGGCACTGTTTGACCACCCTAGTTGCTAACACAGGGTACCTACTTTACTGTGAGAAAGTACATGTTATGCAAGCAGAAATCAGTACATTCTAGGGTTTAACCCTTTTGTTTTTTTGCTAGTCTCTACGTATGTACTGGAGCTGCGGTGGCTCAAGTGGTTAAGACGCTGAACTGCAGGCTGTGGAAGGGCAGTAGTTCAGCAGTTCAAGACCCGGGTGCCACAAGACGGGGTGAGCTCCTGTCTCTAGTTCCAGCTCCTGCCAACCGAGCAGTTCGAAAGCAAGAAATTGCAAGTAGATAAATAGCTACCACTTCGGTGGGAAGGGAACAGCGTTCCGTGCGCCTTAGTGTTTAGTCATGCCGGCCACATGACCACGGAAATGTCTTCGGACAGCGCTGGCTCTTCGGCTTTGAAATGGAGATGAGCACCGCAACCCTAGAGTCGGATTCGACTGGCTTTCGAGCAAGGGAACCTTTACCTTTTTACGTATGTACTACAACTGAAAGCAAAAAGCACACACCAGTTTAGTCCTATGGAAAGAGTAGCCCAGAGGTGAAAAGCGAAACAGGCCTGGGTATAGTCAGTAGGAGGAGGGGAGACCACAAAGGAAGACAGGAGGCTGCTATTGCAGAGGGAGGGAATGGTCACTCACCCTCTGCTCATCTCTTGCCTTGAAAACTGCATGAGGTGAAACTTCATGGGGTCACCATGAGTCAGTTGTGTGACTCAGTGGCACACTTCTTTAAAAGGTAAACCTAAAATTGTGGCAAAAACACTCCTCTGTGTGTGTGTTAAATTTCATAATACTGAATACTTATCTCCATGTCTGACTGCATTATCTTTTCCCCCAAGAAATCATTAAATCATTTTATTTAATTACTTCCTATGGCATGTATAAATGAAACGGAAACTACTATTTAGTAATTTTGTATAATCTTCAGATTCTAGCACATTAAGCTTTTAGTGCATTCCTAAAAAACGTTTCCTGGAAGTAAGCCCCATTGGATAGGCTTCAGTAGGATTCTGAGTGAACTTACATAGGGATACACACTCATTTCCCCGTATTTCCGTGATGTTTTGTGCTTTCATGCCAATAAAGGTTTTGTGTGTGTGTGTGTGATACACTCTGGTACTTACTCTGTCGGGAGGCAAATGTCTTCTTTGCATGCTCAGAGACACTCGTTTTTGTTAAAACTTCCCGTGACCCTGCTGAACTGTAGCACTGAAAGCAGGCTGCGGGTGTAAAACCTTAGCAGTTTCCTTGCTGTCCTTTCCCTGTCCTCTGTCTCATCGTTACAATCGTTCTTTGTCCTATTCCTTCCTTGGTAATTTCAAGAGTCCACACCACTAGTATTTGTTTTCCTTGCTGTCTCCATAGGTGCCATCGGACGGCTCCACACGGCTGACTGAAGCACAAAGGTAGGCGTAGCTAGAAAGTATCACACCAGGAGGTATTTTTATAGCAGAGGTTTTTCTTTATTTTCAACCTGTCATCTTTTGTGTGCGTGTGTGTGTTTTCCCCCCTTTGTAAATATGACCATGCTTCTATTTCTCTGTCTACCTCAATTTCTCACACGCTACTTAGAAGGGCGGCTGTGTGCCACTGCTGAAAGAGTCATTTCCTGCTATGAGAACAGCCTCTGCCTGCACTTACGACGTAGCTGAGCAAATATGTCGTTACACACCAGCATAACCTGTTCATAGGGAATATGAAATGCTAATCAAAGTTGGAGAGGAAATGACTTCCAGCGCTGGTGTAACAAGAAGCTTCGAGTCAAGACCCAGGAAGACTCTTTCGCTCTGGAGGCTTGGCATGGATGTGTTTGGACCTGCACCCACGAATCGAGGAGGGGTGTGCTGACTGACAGACAGCGTATTGGAGGCTTCAGGATTCCAACCACGGGAAGGACAGGATTTATGACTGGTAAGGACAGAAAAACTTTGGCAGAGCTAAGAGAGGACAGCTAGGATGGAGAGCCGCGAAACTCTGTGCATAATTTGTTGCCCAGTATCTCATCACTGTTAATTAACTCGCCTATTTGAAAGAAGATGCCAACAATATATTTTCCTTTAGCCCCTTAGAACGCTATCGATATTTGAACACATGGCAATATAGACGACAATTCTGCATGGACCTATTTTAGATATTTGGAAACTCTTTATAGAAATTTATGTGTCGATCTTTAGCCCCTGTATTTTAGCTGGAGATATATGGCACCTGCTGGAGGTAGGTTGTGGGTTAAGGAAAAGGTATGTTATGCATTGGTTATTTGTCTATGGGATCCTGACCTGAAGTGGAATGTCCCATTACTAAGGAGGAAACTACACCCATATAGTAGCAGATGGGCAAGGCTTCCTAAACACGTCTGTCACTTTGTGTGTGTGGGGGGGGATTTATGTAGGAGGACCAGTAGGTAGATGGGGAGACACTTCGCCCTTCCCTTGCTTGTCAGTTCATCCCTACAAATCCGCTCCGGCCCCCACAGTACTTTTTCCTGACAGCTAGGCATTTTTCAGTCTCATAGCCCAACTGTAGAAAATTCAGTTTTTTAAAGGGGAGGGGGGGGAATATACAGGAGAGAATCAGCGAACAAAGTTCTCCCCTGCCAGTGTCCCCCCACACAATCAGCATTGAGAGGGAACATGGGAGTGTGTTGGCCTTAAAACATATAGCTCTGCCCCATAACTAGGTTCATAATTCCCCGTAACCGGAATCATAATCCTGCTGTCACTCCGGCCCTTTCTGACACGTGTTTAGCCAGGCCTGTATTTTATAAATGAGCCAATTTTAAGTTCCTCAGGATACAGACTTTGCTGTATAGGTGGCAGAAACTTGGTTATCTGTGTGTATGTGTAAGAGCCAGAAAGACTGGTTTAACCAATACAGACTTACTTATGATACATATACGCATTCACGTGATCCCCTGGAGGACAGAGTTGGAGAGAAGTGAGCCAGGGATGGCTGAAGAGCTATTTCTGAGGGAATGCAACCAGATAATCATCTTGGGCAAGCGA